ATAGATGGTTGATGCGCAGCTTTGGTGGTATACCTTACACAGGAATGTGCAGTATACTCTATTTTTTAGCTCTAAAACAAATCTTGGATGAGAAAAGGCACACGTTCTCTGTGTTCAGGGTCATGGAGCCTGCCGGAAGAGAATAGAAAGGAGTAAAAGGTTCTGTCAGCTTGAAATAAGATATCCTTTCTATTCTCTAAACAAAAATAAAGCAACTGATCTGCAATTGAACTTGAATATGTAATGTATCGACAATAGAAGGAAGCATGATGATGCTGGAGATAAACAAATGAATATTGAAATATTAATAATAAATTGACTTTAAGATAGTCTTCATGCTGATTTTGAACACGAAATACTATTTACCTAACATTTCGAATTTTCTGAACGAATGTACACATGTTTTTGGTTTATGTGCACAAATTAGTGCTCCGCCTGTCTCATTCTGCATTAGCATATGAATCAGGGTGGAACAAGAGTGTATGCAATGTAGATCTTGTAATTTGTTCTGGTCGATGTTAGATTTGCAGTGGTAAAAATTTTGAATTCATATTATTGTCTTTCCCTAAAACTTGAGTTTTTCCAGGTTTGTTGCTGTTGTCTTCCCTTGGATTTTCATCTTTCAAAAACTAGAGCGGTTATCTTTTTAGTTTGCTCAAGTTACCCCACTCTGTTTATTCACATGGCCTGAAATTTCATGTATCACACCATTCTTTTGTATACATTCCAACATTTTTGTATTTTCAAACCATGATATATTGTCATAAATCTATCAAAACCTTGTTTAGCACAATTTGTGTAGCCTGGACTGAGTACCATTGACAGAATTTAGCATTATGTTATGTATTTGGAAGATTTGTGAGGTGAATTTGTCCCTCTTGGCCAATTGGCTCTGACAAGAGGTGGGGGAGAGTGAAGGATTATTGCTATGTTTGGCTGTCAGTGAAAATCGATCCACATTTCTTCTTAAATGTAGATGGCCATATGCTAAACTCAATGGTAATTGATCTGTCGCTGAGAATTGTTTGGTTGCCATTTGTACCCTCAAAGTGAAACGTGGTGAAATTCATCAAGTTTTGAAAAACGGAACTGACTGAAATTCCCCCCTCCCCCCTCCCTTTTCTCTCTCCTTCCCTCCCTGCCTCTTTTCAAAAACTCTGGCTTTCCTAAGAGCTCTCTTTCTCTCTCTCTCCCTCACTCCCCCCCCAAACCTTCATCTTTCTCTAACATTCCTTCCTTTCTCACATTGAGAAGCAAACCTAATCCTTAAGCTGTTCTCTCCCTTTTCTTGAACTAGGTTATGTTGGAGTTGTATTTCAGATATCTCAGAACAGGAAGCTTATGCGCTATCTGGACTGCAGAGTACCAACGTCCTTAACCTTGCGGTGTTGAAGATTGAGTTCAAACAATTCGAACCATAAAGATGTTAAGGGATCTATATTCATTGTTAAGAAGAATAGACAACCCTGTTATTTCATTTGGTTGAATAAGTCACCTAAAATTTCACTGTCTGGAAGAAATCCAAAACAATCATACAAGGGTACTTGAGATGTAACCTCAAAGCACCCAAAAGCCCTAATGATTCTAACAAACCTAATTCACATAGGAAATTACAACCATGAGATTGAAATAAGATAATAAACATGCATTAAAAAAAAGAACTACCTAAGCTTGGCATTCTGTCAAGGACCAGAGTTCTTTGGCAAGTGTAGACACAGCAAAGAACCGACTGTTAAGCAGCCCTCAATGCCCTAGACCACCCCATTGTGAATTCATTATCAAGGACTGGAGAGCTCAAATTTGTCTTTCCTTATTCTTCTCCTGATTCACCATCCTAATTTTTTTTAATCAGATTCATAGCGGCTTTATATAGAGAAAAAAACCTTTTGGTTTTACTGAGATTAAGTTCTTTAGACAAGAGCAGAGATTTATCAGGTGAAAGCATAGGGATTTCAGAGAAAGGGCTTTTTGGGTAACGATAAGGAGGGAGAGGAGACCCATATGCTGCTTTGTTGGTAATTGAAATCGTAAGCAGAGGCATCTGGAAATTTGGAGAAAAGTTTCACGGAGGTCGTCTGATCCAAATAATTGATGGAGGTCTGCAGTTTTCCGTCATTCCAAACCCTAATATTTCATGCATGGCTTCTTCCATAAAATCCTAGTTTCATCATAATGGACTGGGTTTTGAGAAACATTTGTAGAGCTGGACATTGAGAATTTCAGGTTCTTTAAGAAAGTGTAGAGAGATGGATTGCCTCGTACGTTAAGAACCAAGTGATGAGAGGGAGAGGGCTCCGGGTTAGAGAGTGTGAGAGAGCTCTGGTTTTTTTTTTTGGGGGGGAGGGGGCGTCCTTAGGGGTAGAGAGAGTTCTGGTACAAATGGAGAGAGCGATGTCGAACCACTGCAAGCATTTTATGGATGAAGAAAAACAGAAGGCAGGCACCTCTTTTTTGTTCTCATCTGTGGTTTAGTCCTCAAACCATGTGGTTGTTTATCTGACATGGGCATATACACGTACTCTAGATGGTGAACCACTTCTGTTTTTTCATCAATGGTTTGGGCCTCTAAACCATGGTTTGAGGTGACGTCCAAATATGGCCTGTGGAGGAAGATTATCTGATGCAAGTATGGATACCAAACAGACACTAGATTTTTGGTGGTTTGGCGGGAGATATGTGGAGTGCACAATGATTTTTGTAGACGTATTAGATTTGTAATTGGAGATGGAGCCTACATTCAATTTTGGCTGGACCATTGGTGTGGAGATACTGCATTGGGGACTAGAAATCCAGACATTATTGAGGATGCTACTAATTCCAATGCCTGAGTGATTGATTGTTTTTAGAGGTTAGGGGGTACGATGCAGTGGTGCTTGACATTTCATAGGGATCTTTAAGATGATGAGGTGGAAGAGTTAGCAAGATTCTTGACTGAGTTGGTAGATGTTTGTTCCGATGCAAGGGGTGGATAGGTAGGTATGGAGTTGGGATAGTCCAGGATGTTTTACTGGTAGATCTTTTTACAATATTCAACCAAGTGATATGACCACTGATTTATGGTCGTTTGGAGGGTATACACTCTGCCCTGTGTTTAAGCTTTTGAATGGTTGGCATTTCCAATATATTGATAGTTTACAGCCTTCAAAGACAGTGTATGCGGATGCCCAATTTTTATGTGAAGCTAAGGAGAAAACAGCAAGCCACATTCTTATCCATTGTAGGTATGCTATGACCATATGGGCGTTTCTTCTTAATATCTTTGGCATGCAATGAGTGACCCTGGCTTTCGTGGAAGACCTTACGGTGAGGTGTTTCTCCATGGCTATCCCACTTAGGGGCCAGGTTTTTGGTAGTTGAGCATTATGGCTATTATTTGGTGCATTTGGAAAGAGCCAAATAGTCATATTTTTAGGGATCAAAGGATCTTTAAGGAGATGATTAGGAATAGGGGTGATCTTGTGGTCTTATCTTCGAACACAATTTTGAGGTTTCAATGCCATTGACTAGATCAAGGATTGGAAGACTTTGGCCTTATTGGGTCCATCTTTTCTCCGACCAGGGCAGTTTGGGTTTCTCCAGTGGAGGGCTTTATGAAGCTAAAATTTCATGGATGTTCACGGTGTAATCCAAGACCAGCAGACTTTTAGAGATGAAGAAGGTAGGAAGCTATTCGAGTCCACCAGGGATATGTGATTTTACATTAGTGGAGGCTCATGCATTACTTACAGTGTACAGATTTTTCGCTTTCATTTAAGGCATCAATTAGAAGGGGAATGTCTCAATGTCCTATGATGGGCTCGTAAAAGATCCTCTATCCTGTGGAGGTTTGCTATGATTTTTGGCGACATCTTGATATTTGTGACAGCATTCTTAGGGGAGCTAACCAAGAGGACGATACTCTTGCTAGTGAAGGGGTTCTTCAAGAGTCACTCTGTGTCGACACAATTGCATGTTGGAAACCTGAGATGTTGTCTTGACATCTCCTGACCTTTGCTTTTTTGTTTTTGATCCTCCGTACTTCTGTCTAATGGAGTTCGTTTGTTAATGTTCAGAAAAAAAAAGAAAGAAGTTCTTCGCAAAAAGTTTTAAGTTTAGCATTAAGCAACAAGCATAATCATGTATCTTGTGATATACTTTGAAAATGACGAAAAAACTCCTTGTGGGATTTCACCATCTAGACCCATACTACTCTGATGTAGTTATTAATAGAGGACAAAATATCTAAAGCCATAGTAACATGTATTTAAGAGTGGTCCCGTTGCTTTGAGTGTATTAAGGAAAACGGGTCATTGCATGATCTACTTTGATTCAAAAAGGAACCCACACTGTTTGGACAATGGAAAACCCCCTACAAAAATTCTTCACTTTTATCATTCAAGGGGGGGCTAAACCACATAAAGCTTCTGTCAATCAGTGGCCAAAATTAGAATTCTGAAATTCCTTTCCCATCTTATCGCCAGGGCTCAAGAATGCAGCTCTTTGGTCTAGACCCCTCACCAATCATCTAGCATTTTCAGATTGTGGATAAAATAATGTATAAGGAAGAGGGTTAGGCAGTAGTTTTGGCATGACTGCCAAAGTAAAAAATCAGTATTTTTAGCCTTTGGTATGCAAACCGGAAGGAGGCTTTAGAATATGGAGAACATAACAAAATGAATGATAATCAATATACATGTAAAATAAATGGAGTTGACCATTCAGAAAGATGTTTTTTTATTACCTAGATAGGGTGCAAAAGTAGTGCTTGTTCACATTTTACAGCATATGCATACTGTAGGTGGTGTTGGAGCTCTATTTGCTGAGTTGACCTGGAAATCATCAAGGCTTATAAATCTTTTAGTGCTTGTATATGGGTTAACAGTTTTTTTTTTTTCTTGTTACTGTAGAATGAGATGTGTTTTTCCCAATTTTAAGACTTCTGTTTAAATGTGATGTTTTTGTGGTCTCATCAAATTTCATGATTTAATGGTTAAAAATTTGTTTTTATGTTTGCTTTTCAGGATATTTCCATAGGAAGCATGCAAAAGCATCTGAAGTTCCAAGTACTGATGGGATCAAATACACATGCTACGGTTGCCAAGGGAAAGCCCAAGTGAGAAGAAAAGCAAAGGTTGCACTAGCAGAAAAGCAAAAGATCTCAACAAATAGATGTTCAGAGCGTCTGGCAAAGAAAGTGAAATACGTCTCTCTGAGAAGCAGCAAGCTTACTGATCAAAAGAAAAAAAGAAGTAACAAGCCCACCAATCATAAGAGAAAACGAAGTTACAACATTACTGATCAAAAGGAAAAGAGAAGTAACAAGCATAATGTTCGCAAGAAAAAAGGTCCATGTCAAAGCAGAAATGTCACATTTAGGAACAGTACGAATATCGTCGTAAAAAGGACTAAAGCGCTAAGAACCCAGGTGCGGCGTGTTTATTGGCTAAATGGCCTTCTCTGGACAACAAAGTTGGATGATATTCGTGGAAATGATTTCAGAAACAGAAAAGTTCTTCTTTCATCTGAAGATGCTAAAAGATTCTCAGCATATCCTATATGCTTTCTTTGTCACGAAGAATATGATGCTCGGCTCATCTACCTTAGCTGTGAAAACTGCGGAGGTATGTGATGCTTTTCTGCTTAAGTAAAAGTGTAGTGTTTTTTGTTAAAGTACACTACTGTTGAGTGGACCATGAAAAGCCATACTCTAAACTTAGTTCCCTTCATTTTGATGGATGGTCATGACTCCAATTGACTACTATTTCCCATAATGAATCGTACCCCTTATTATTATATTGTCTTGTGCCTTAATGTTTGACATGGATGTTAGAAATTTCTCTCAAACTTGAAGAAAATACTAAATTGCTTCAGAGCAGCGTTCTGAGACTCGGACTCGGCCGAGCGAGGCAAGTTTTGGTCGAATAGGCTGTACAACATATTTCCGAAGTTTATTTATATTAATGCGGCAAATTTAAGTCGTGTGTTTGAATGGCTCCGCGGATAGTCTTGACGCACATGTTGTAGTGTGATCGGGGTTCGAATCTCACCAGCGAACATCACTTTTTAAAAGGCTGTCATTTTCTTTTATATGAAGGGAGTTCTCAAAAAAAAGATAGGCCCCCACGAATCGAACTCTACACCTCTTACAAGGAGGGAGTATTATGTCAGGCGGCCCAACCCACATGCCATTAGCTTTTTGGTTGAAAAAGCTGTCCACTAATTATATATATTATATTTCTCATTTTCTTTAAAAAAAATGTGAGCTGGACTCGGGCGAGTTACTTGGACTCGCCTGAGTACTTTGGTCGAGTCAATTTTATAAACACTGCTTAAGAGGCTCAAAGATGGGCATCACTTGTGTCTAGGCAGGACATCTGCATTAGTGACTGTTTCTTGCACTCGCGTTTCCTTGGCTTTCAGAAGTTTGAGATGAATCTGATGTTACAACATTCTTCTTTGGATTCTATGTTTACAGCATTGCTGGTTGTATTTGCAGTTTCCTTTGATTGATACCTCTGTATTGTCACTTGCGTGAAATAGTTTATAACGTCATGATTTCCGTGTTACATGTAGATTGGTTTCATGGAGATTCTCTCGGTGTTACTGAAGAAAACATTGTCAGCCTGCTTGGTTTCAAGTGTTACCAATGCCGAGAGAGGACTGCTCCTACTTGTCCATATGCCAAGGAAGAGAATCCCTCTTATAAAATTCATGATCCAAATGACAAAGATGGGACTCAATCCCTTGAGAATTCAATAGATGATGTCTTGACAAAGAGAATAACATGTAAAAGAAAACGAAGGGTCCCTGAAAATGTAATGCCCAGTGAGCCCCTGATAGATGAGGACCTGAAAGCAGAAACAATTTCAGATTGTTGTGATAGGAATGGGAGCAAGTCAGAAACAGATCTTGTCCCAATTACTTCTCATGCAAAATCTCCATCCTGTGAATCTAACTTGGATGCCATAATGCAAGAGAGAGTGGCATCTGTATAAGTTCTGCAAGATAGCTTGGAAGAGATACTAGTGACTTCTAGAAGGATGGAAGCTGAGTTCCAAGCTCTGGCAGTCTTTTCAGTTAGTGAGTTGTTAGATTGCGAGGGAAGACAACATAAAAGCTTTTAAGCATGTCTCAAGAGAATACAGTAGACATGGCCTAACAACTCTCTTGTACTTGTAGGACTACAGATTTATCTAATATGGTGGGGTACACAACGAGTTTTGTGTTATTCATATGAAGGATGAAAACGCATCTAAAAGCACTGAAGAAGTCGCTAATGCAGTGAACAAAGGAGCTTTGTTTCCAATTATGGGCCAATTATGGAAAACATTTTCTGGAAGAGTTGGAGGAAAAGATCGGTGTTGTTTCTGAAGCAGAAGTTCTCGATTTTGCTTTCTCTGAGCTATCCTTTGGTGTTTGGTGCCCAAATTAGATTGATCTATGATATATGCAATCGGTTTCTTGCATGGTTTTGTTGATTTGCTCATTGAGTCAATGCCTGGCCTTTTCCTTTCCTGAGAAGACACTTCTAACTGATTTCCTTGAAGAGAAGTATAAAAGTTTGTTGCGGATAGATGAAGTTGCGACTACATATATCACCAAATTAGTATCTGTATGGGTATTTGATTGGAGATATATGAGTGAAGTTTTTCTAACCAAAGTCGCATTGGATATTTTTTGGAGGCCAAGCAATCATCTTGGAGTTCACACTTCACACCATCAAATTGAAATTATTTGTAGAGTTTCAACACCATTATTGTAAGAACTGATGATTATTTTGAATGAGAACGCCTTTTTGTTCATTTCTTAGACTTCCCCGCCTTTAAGAGGAGTCTGTACAGTGCATTCCCCATCATACTATTTAACTATGATCAAATTTTAGATGGCTTGTATACAGTGCATTCTCCATCATACTATTTAAGTATTTTATAATGATAAATGCAATTGTCACACATGATGAGACTTCCAAGGATATAGCATGCATGGGTAATTTAAAAGTTATGAATTGCTATATACTAAGCTTTTTATTTATTGTTCTTTGATATGTTGAAGAGAAACATCATTAGTACCCTAAGCCTTTTGTAGAGAACTGTGACATAGATGCCCTCGGATGCATCACACCATGATTAACCAAAGTGCCTAGATGTGCAACAACGATAAAGTAACCTTTTCTGATTAAAGCATTTAGAATTGATAGATCCGTATATGTTCAATAAGCATTTAAAAAAAGGGGCATTTTCTTTTTCAAAAAAAGAAGAAAAAAACAAGAACGAAAAAAGAAGGCATTTCTCTTGTGTTTTTTAATGGCTTATCTGAACTGATGGCGTGCTTTTCTTACTCCAAACTTGAGCTACATACATTGGTCTTCTAAACGAATTTTATCTGCTAGATTCATTCCGCCTCAATAATTCCAACCAAAGTTTCCCTGCTCATTCTATATTTCCTCCCTTGCTCCTGATCTTGCTTCATGAGCCTCTCGGGATGGATCAACTATGCATAGATAGCCGCCGCCTCCTCAAGCTACGCCTTCAGTGGTCAGAGAGGGCGAGCGGCTACTCCCTCAAGTAGCCAAGCGCCGCCCGCGGCCCCCGCATGCAATCCATTTCCTCAAGTGACAGGCATTTAGCAATTCACTATGTCATGTTAGAGCAAAATAACTTTGATCATTTGGATGTCTGAAACATAACAAGGTGCTTTCAAAATTTTTCTCAAGAATAAACATTTTAATTTCTTGTAGTGTTGTTTTTTTTTTTAATGTGTACATGTTTGTATTGTTCATATTACTTGTTCCTTCATTGGAGTACCTATGCACATTGTTTATTATGTTATGCTTATTTTCTATGTTGTTGTCAAGGTTGTATAATGTATTAGTTTTGGACAACCGACCTTTCTCTCTCTCTATATATATATATAGAAAAGGTTTATATAAGGTTGCAATCTTAAAATGTAGAATTATAGATGTACCTCAAAAATCCATCGAAAAATGTTGTTTTAATGTTGAAAAACCCTCTAATTGATCATCTCAACATCGCGATGTATGAATATGAAAGAAAAAAGGTTTTGAGTCCCAGAAACAGTGCATCTTGCAACACATTATCTGGATCGTCCAATTTCAAGATTTTCATATGTTTATAGATCTACTTGATTTTACCTATTTTTGGAGTTTAAAATTTTATAATTAGATATGAAAATAGATTTTGAGATAATCCTACGAATATTTTATACTAAAATTGCACATTATGATAGAATTTGGAGGTGCACCTTATTTGGATTGTTTAAGGTTGCAACCTCATGGAAACCACACACACACACACACACACACACACACATATATATATATATATCTAAAGAGACAACAAAACGGCTATGGGAAAAAATGAACAGTATTTTCGTTCATAGGCTCGGTGCCGTCCGATTTTTTTGGACGGCGTGGATTAAATACTGTCACGGATATAGGATGTCAGTGACAAGATTTTTTTTTCACGCAAATTTGGCGCAAAAAATATATAGGGACCCACGGCCCCTGTAGATCCGTGTCGGTTTTTAGGCAAAACCGTCACGGATATGGCATGTTTGTGACGAGGGCGAAACACTGTTGCAATTCGTCTATAGGGGTTTTTAATACTTTTCCTATATATAAAAACTATACGGGGACCGCCAAGCCGTAGGTCCGTGGCATTTTTTAGGAAAAACTGTTACGGATATATAGAAAAAGTCCTAAAAATGTACATAAGCGAATTCTATAATGTTTCGCCCCCATCACAAACATGCTATATCCGTGACGGTTTTGTCTAAAATCCACGGACCTACGGGGGCCGTGGCGGTCCTCGTATATTTATATTTTTTGCGTCAAATTTGCGTGAAAAAAATCCCGTCACAGACATGCTATATCCGTGACGGACTACCATGGAAATGCTACGTCCGTGACGGTCTTTAATCCACGCCGTCTAACAAGTCTATGGGCGAAAATACTGTTCATTTTCGCTCATAGGCGTTACGCCCATGTGCGTACTGCTACAGTAAATACCAACGGCCCAGATCGAATCTGGGCTTATCTGACAGTCACGGTTGTCCAAGAGCATTTGAATTTTAATTTTTTTTCTACAAATCAAAATGATTTGAAATTTGGAACCTGTGTACATCTTAGTGAGACGCACCTAATAAAAATATAAAAACAATAATTCGTGAAAAAAAATTGACCAAAATACCTCTAAAACTTTTCAGGGGTATTTTGGTCAATTTAATTCATGTAAAATATTTTTTTAATATTTTTCATAGATTCGCCTATTTTTGATGAATACACACTCTAAATTCAGATCATTTCAATTTGTAGAAAAAAATAAAAAATAAAATACTATTGGATATCCGTGATCATCAGATCGACATTTACTGTAGCGGTATACGAATCGGTGTACCATAGCATCTTCCATATATATATATATATATATATATATATATATACTACTTTAACTAAGTATAACTAACTACTACTACTACTAACTACTACTATAATTAAAATTAAATTAAAAATACGTAGTAAGTAAATAAATAATAAGTAAAGTAGT